GTGATACACACCTTTAATCCTAGGACTCAGGATTAAAGGTAGACAGATCTCTGCAAGTCCAAGGCCACCCAGATCTACACAAGACTGATGCAGTCTTAAAGAGAAACAACTCACACAAAGATGATCTCAGCACCTGGGATCACATGCCTTTAATCCCAGCACTAGAGAGGTACAAAAGATAGGAGCAGGGTCTTCAGTAATCAGTATCAGGAATTCATTCTCCAGCCACATTGAGGACAGGAGACATTCATTTTCCAGCCACACTGAGGATAAGAGGGATTCATTCTCTAGCCCCATTGAGGAGAAAAAGTCTCAGGATTCTCCAGCCATGCTGAGGAGAGACTACAAGTCTGAGGCTGGGTGGAGCCAGGATCTCCTTTCATTATCAGGTAGAGTAAGAGCTAGTGACCAGGTGCTTTGCTTTTCTGATCTTCAGCTTGAAACTTGAACCTCAATATCAGTCTCTAGGTCTTATATTTATCATGCAACAGTAGGTAGAAGGAATGATTGTAAATATACCACTCATGTATGAAATTCTTCTTTTATTTAGATTAGAAACAATCTTATTTTACATATCAATCCCAGTTGTCCCTCCTTCCCATCCTCATGCCACCCATCAACCCCCCATTCCATCCCCTTTCTGCTCCCAATGGAGGGTGAGGCCTTCCATGGGGGATCATAATGAAGAATGGATAAAGAAAATGTACATTTACACAATGCAGTACTCAGTGAGAAAAAAACAATGGAATCTTGAAATTCGCAGGCAAATGGGTGGAACTAGAAGAAACCATCCTTAGTGAGGTAACCCAGGCCCAAAAAGACAAACATAATATGTACTCACTCGTATATGGATATTAGACATAGAGCAAAGGATTACCAGTCTACAATCCACACAGCCAGAAATTCTTAAAGAATAAACTTGTCAGCATATGTCAGGAAGGAAGGAAGGAAGGAAGGAAGGAAGGAAGGAAGGAAGGAAGGAAGGAAGAAAGGAAGGAAGGAAGGAAGGAAGGAGACAGGGCACATCATTCTGTATGTTGTGAATATGTGTTTCTCTTATTGGTTTATGAATAAATGGGATTGGCCACTAGCCAAGCAGGAAGTATAGGTGGGGCTACAAGTCTAGAAGAAGGCTAAGAAGAAAAAAAGGCAGAGAAGCAGTGGCCAGAAAGAGATGCCAAGTAGTCATTGAAGGAGTAACATGCTGAAGCATTATGGGGAAGCCACAGCTTAGTGGAAATACATAGCTTAATAGAAATGGGTTAATAGTTAAAAGAGAGCTAGCAAATAAGAAGCCTGAGCCATTGGCCGAGTAGTTTATAATAAATATAAGCCTCTGTGTATTTATTTGGGACTAAAAGATTCAGGGACCAGGTGAGACAGAAACTCTGTCTTCAAATGGTGCCCAACTTTCAGCAACTATATCCACATAAATCCTGAGAGGGCTTGGGAAGGAATTCTAAACACAAAGAAACAGGCAACCACAGCTTCTTCATAGCAGCATTTTCTCAGGTAAACTCTGTGAGAGGCAAGCAGAGGCATGGTTGCTTTAAGAACAGCTTCCTGCCTCAGTATTAGGGACAAAAACTTCAGGGCTCTTTTAAGAGGGCCAGTTACTGAACAATTAGTGTTTATGAGCAGCTGGCAGCATGCTTCTTGGTGGTATGAACCTAGAAACTCCACCATGAAGCTAGACTCTCAGAAATCCAAGGAATAGGGGTAGAGCCAGTCACCACTTTAATCTTAGCCATGCTGTATAGCAGATTAAAGACTCATATGGTCAGGAAAAGATAGAGATATACAGTAAAGACTGGTGCAGATGAAGAAAAACCACGAAAGTGTTTACAGTGTTTTTAAAAAAATATATGTAGTCTTGGTAAACAAAAGAAAAAGGATAGCGGAAGTCCTAAAAAAGAAACAGAGTAGCTGGGTGTGGTAACACATACCTTTAATCCCAGCACTCCTGAGGCTCTATGATTTCAAGACTAGCCTGGTTTAAAGAGTGAATTCCAAGATAGCCAAAAAATACACAGAGGAACCCTGCTTCAAAAAAAAAACAAAAAATAAAAATAAAAAAGGAGTAATAAAAAAAGTCATGTAAAGACGAAAAATACACAGAGAGTTTGGGTACTGCATGTCATTGTGTTGTCTTTGAATTGTTTGATTGCTGAAGAAGAAGCATCAGCTGCTAAAAGATATTTGATTATAAATGCTGCTGGATTAACCCATCACATATATTTTGAAAATGCCTTGACTTCAAAATTTAAGTCTAAGGAGATGTTACTTTGGAAAAGAGGTTCTGCTTTTGTTTCCATAGAAGATGAAAAGCTGTGGATTGATCAAACAAGACCCCCTAAAGCAATGGCCCAGGTGATCCAACATCTAAAACAGCTGAGACCAAGTAGCCTCAGACTACTACAGCCACGATTTAGCCAGGATTCTGGGTTTTCTCAGGATACCCTGGGGATTGAAAGTACCCCCAAACAGCAGCAAGCAGTTTGCAAAGAACTATGCCCACATTCCCAAATATTGTTTATCAATGTTTGGATTGGTTAAAAATGGTTAATAATCACAGTCAATCTCTTTTTAAAGAAAAAAAGAATATAATATAGAAATGACTACTTTTCATTGGTATGGATTTTGGTTTATTGACATAAATTTAAGGTCAATTTTGTTAAAATCTTCCTTTTCATTTAGACAGAAAAGAAGAGATGATAGGGGATGTCATTCTGTATGCTGTGAATATATGTTTCTTTTATTGGTTGATGAATAAATGCTAATTGGCCAGTAGCCAAGCAGGAAGTATGGGTGGATCTACAAGACTAGAGGGATGCTGGGAAGAAAACAGGCAGGGAAGCAGTGGCCAGTCAGAGATGCCATGTAGCCACTGAAGGGGTAACATGCCAGAGCATTACCAGTAAGGCTCACCCTTGTGGCAATACATAGTTTAATGAGTTAATAATTAATAAGAAAGAGCTAGCAAATAAGAAGCCTGAGCCATTGCCTAAACAGTTTATAATTAATATAAGCCTCTATGCATTTATTTGGGCCTAAACTGCTTTGGGACCTGGTGGGGCAGAAACCTCCACCCATAGGAAAGTAACCCTGGTTTTGGTTAGTTAAAATCCACAACTGGCCTAAGTACAAATGCTTTGCATATAGTCAAAAGTGCCTTATGGAATATTAGAGTAGTGATATCCTCATCCTGAGTTGAAATTTAGTTGCTAATGATACTTATAGTGAATGAAGTTTTATGTAAAAACTCATGTAACATCATGCAAAAGAAATTAGACAGCATCAAAGCCTGTGGATGCTATATGATATGAAGGGCTTTTGTTTAATGAATTAGGACCAATTTGATTGCTAACCACTTTCTTGTTTTGCCTGCTTATTCCCACTCAAAGATGTACTGTATTTCTCTTTTTGATTATTATTTTATTTAAAATTAAATTAGCATACACAATATTAGGTTTCATTATGGCATCTTCAGGGACAATTTGTTTTTGTTAGTTGGCCTTTGGCACTTGGAGGGAGAATTATCAGCCCAGATGAGAAAATTTCACTTAAACTATATATATATATATATATATATATATATATATATATATATAT